AATTTGGGGTATCTATTTTTTTACACTCTTTATCCCTTATACTTTGCACTTTTCTATTACAAAAGGAGGTTATGCTTTCTCTTCATAAACTTAGATTATTTTCAAGTGTATTTTTGGTGGATAATCTTATAAATTAAAGTGAAGTAAATTTTGGAGACAACAAAAAAATAATATTTTTCATGTATAATAATTAAAATTCAGCAAGATTACATTATTAGATGGTGTGACAATAACAAGAAAATAAAAGTTAAGGTTGAGTATTGTTTAATTTCTAAGGATGTCACAATTGAATCCTTAATTAATAAATATAGAAATTTAAATATTATGAAATTATTATGAATGAGGTACTATAGTATTTTACAAAATATCATCAATATATGTAATCTGAATATTTGTTAAGAATAATTATCTCATGATAAAAATAATTATGATATTCATAAATAAGTTATACTTCAACTTATTCAAGAATAATTCATAAATAAGTTTTTTACTATATGTTGCAAAAGCCACTGTGTGTCAACACCAAGGGCATCTACAATGAGCTCTTATGTTTCATACACACTTGAATGTTGTAGAAATTTTGGTAAGTTTGTTGTGCACATAGAAAGTGAATGATAAAATTTGTGTACAAAAATACTAAATTTATGTGTCAATAGGTTGTCTTCAAAATCTCTAGGGATGAACTTTTCATTAAGCCCAAAAGTTGACTTTTAAAATTAAAAGTACATATGTCAAAAATTATCTCGGTCAATCCTTATATCTACTTGTAGAGTAGTCTCTATGTGACTGGATTTTGACTAGCTCCCTTTCCAAAGATGTTAACTTGAGATTTTCTAACCAAATAAACCCACTCAAAGTCAAAATCCTTTCATCTTCTAAATATATATATTTTTCTTTGCTTTTATCATATCTTTTTCTTGGTCATTATTTTTACCACATTATTCTTACAAAAATATAATACAAATGAAAAATATAATAGTTTAATTATATATTATAAATTAGTCAAAAATATGATATTTCTGATTATATTTTATATTCTTTTATTTTTTTGTCAGTAGAAAATAATTATACCAACAATCAACTCTTTTTTGATGTTATGAAATATTTGGAAAGTAAAATAATAAACATCTGAAAAATCAAAGATGTTGTTGTGAAGAAAACTATTTATGCATTCAACAAGCCCCATACACAATAGGCTTGACATATCCATCTTCTCACACTAGACGGAAGGCACTAGATTGTCTTTCTTTCTCTATTGACAACACTCCATAAATTTCCTTTATATAGAGGTGATGTTCAAGAAGTTATTAGTCAATCTTGATAATGAATAGAGTACTTTTCTTTATTTTCTTAGTAGTTTAGCTCTTGAATAAGCTTTGGTAAGATTGCTCTTATAATAGAACTATGAAGAGTAATTTGAGATGGTGTGTGGTGATTTTATATATGGTTGAGACAATCTTATAAAGTAGTTGTAATTGGCTATTTATAGAGTTAAAAAACATAATCATTGGATTTTACCCTCTTAGATATATTTTGTCAATGATCAACTAGAAAAATACTTTGGTTGACTTGCTAAATAGTCAATATAAGTAGGTTGTTGATATAATCAGTTTTTGATCATGTCATATTGCACAAATGCCATGGAATTTTTTTCTAAATTCAGATTGATACTTTGACATGTTATAATATGATGCATTGTTAGATATCTTCTTACATGATTAAGATCTTTTGACATGTTTCTTGAGAAGTATCTTTTTTTTTCTCTTGAGATTTGATTTGATTTTTCAAGGTTAGTGCATGATTTAACTCACTTTCTCATTGGGTGATGTGACTTATCACTATATAGTAAATTACACAAATTTAAAATTTATAAAATTAGAAAATACTAATTTTTAGATATTTAGAAGTATTTATAAATAAATATATCAATTAAAATTCAATAAAAGTTTCAAAAAATAATGGTAATTTTTTAAGTCGTTCATAGAGATGTAATATCATATCTAGTAATATTTTAGACTTTTTTGCAAAATATATATATATATATATTTCTAAATTTTATATTAATAAATAAAAATAAAATATATTTAAAATTTACAAAAAAAGGAAATAAGGGGTATGTATATCAAGATGACGTCATCACTTGATGAACATGAATCGGATGAAAACACGCCTGACGATTCTTAGATAAACGATTAAAGACTATTTAGTTGGTCAAATTAAGATACGTAAAAGCTAGAAGAATCGTAAGTGAATGAAGAATAGTTAGAAAGTAGAAATCGCACAAATTAAGATTAAATGAAGTAAAAATTAAATTAAAAGTAGGAAAGACAGAGTTTTGACGTCGTGGTGATGCTACGTCAGTGATGCGTCGACGATGTAGTGTCTATGACCTTGAAGGCTCTCCTTAGATAATGACAACATGAGCAATCTTTAAATCTTTTTATAAAGTTTAGAGATTAATGAAATGAGTCATTGAATTATCTTTAATGACTATCATTTGACGTATTAGAAAAGTTATTACTTTGTGGCTTTCTAGCAACTGACATTTAACAGAGAGGAGTTGGATAAACGTGGGGCACGTGTCAAGGAGCTTCATCCTCAGGTCCGTGCAGTAAAAGTAGTCTCTTCGTTGTATTCAGTACGCTCTCAGGAGGTGATGACTCGTCTCTTGATGGATTGTTTTATTTTTAACGACAATTTGTTCATCGATCAATTAGAGATGATTTATTTAATAAATTTGCAATCTTTTTATTGTGAATCGTTCAATAATTTTAGTAACAATATTCTACGAATTACGTCGATGAGATTTTTAGGGTTGATCAAGTGATTCTGGTAACTTAATCCTTCACCGACAATCTGCAGAAAAGTCACGATTTAATCAAATAAAAATACAAGTTTTGGCTCTAGTAGGATTGGAACCTACACCGGTCCTCCACTTGCATGAGAGAGGAAATAAGTTCTTGAATACTTTTATATAGTGACATTATCATGATATCTCGATATTATTTTCAGTATTAAAATCTTCAAAATATTCTGAGAAAGGTGTGAGTGTCGATTTAGTCCCACATTAATTATACGCTGAATGTAGAGATGCATATATGGTAATGTGAGATTTGGAAATCAATGAGTCAATTTCTCATATATATGACTACTCTTTGCTCCACAGTCAGTTAGCCACTAGTGATGTGAAAGGGGAGTGGCACACATGTGCCCTCCAATCCATAGCCGCTCGAGGTCTTGTTTGCAGCTTCATCTCGACTATGCTTCCAACCTGCTTACAAACCAATTAGTCGGTGGGTCCTTCTCTTTTTATATCTTTTTATTTTATTTTATTTTTCTTTATTTTTCTTAAAAATAAAATTATAAAAATTATATAAATTCACATAAAATCACGTAATTAGCCAAGAATCACATTAATCAATTGAAAACTACTTTTCACAATTTGACATAAATATAAGTCTATTTATCATGAGTTAAGACTAAAACTATATTATTTATCAATCATCAACTCATGATAATAAAGACTTATCATTGGGTCAACACAACTTTGTAGGTTAACACATTTTCCCTCTCTCAATTTTTCTTGTTGTAGTATTTTTTTTTATGCTCAATAATATATATTTCTATGACGATATAATTTTTGTCCTTTTAAAAAATATAAGTAATAGTAAATTTTCCAGACTAAGTGACCTAGATCTTCAACCAAATATTCATTTCTCTTAATTTTTCATTTATTTATCTACATGACAAACAAATGCAGCACTAGTAACCAGACAAAAGTCAAGCTAGTGCCTTGGTATCTACTTTGAAGAGACCAAGCAATGAGCTACAGAGGTCTCATCCTAAAGAGTGTTTTGTGAGTTGTTTGAAGTTATTTTCCATTGAATAATTAGAAATTATTATGTGAACATTGCTTAGTTAAAGTGCTTTCACCATAAGCTGGCTTTTCAATTTGTTTCTCAATGTATCTAGAATATTTCCCATCAGAATCCTATTAGCCCACTGAGATCTTCAGCAAAGTGATTATTACCCAAGGTTAAAGTAAAATGGCCCCTAGATCCAATCCAGTCAAATTACCCCAGAAATTGACATGTGGCGTCCAGCAGTGCATGCTTCATTCATCAAGGAAACACATAATGGTTTCTCTGCCTGTCACTCTCAGTCTGTTTATCTGTCTATATCTGTCTCTTTCTCCCTCTCCATCTCCCTCTCTCTCCCTCTCCCTCTCTTTATCCTCCTCTCTCTCTCTCTCTATATATATATATATACCCCCTCTCTGTATCTATCTCCCTCTCTATCTCTCTCTATAGTATATATATATATATCTCTTTCCCCCTCTCTCCCTTTATCTCTGTTTTTAACACTCCCTCTCTCCCTTTAGCAGAAGATAGATTTCGGGAAATTGAAACTAGCACGAAAACCGGAGACAGGATCAGAGCAAGGACATATTCCTTGCAGACAGATGGGCAAAGCTCAGTCATCAATCTCATAGTATTTGACCTTTCACCAACCTGCAGGAGCATCCCGGATGTTCTGAACGCGTTATTAATCATCATTCTCATTGTATTTGATACATGATTGAAAATAATAGGCTACCTTCGTCTTCCTACTTCTTTTTCAGTTTGTGGACTATGTGTCATCGGAATTATATTGCATCCTTATTCGCGACAATGACAACGACAATAATCTATCGTGAATTTAGCTTTAGGTATTTCACTACAACAGCAGGGAACTATGACCAACAGACACACAGAGCGTCACCCTTTTTTTTTATTTGACATACATATTGTGATGGTTGAGGGCTTTCTTTCTCTGAAGGCGCGGGACGCTCGCGGAATCCGTGCCTTCTGTACCACCACAGGTTTGGGCAGATCCCGCTCCTAAACAAAAGGGAGGGAAAGGGGGAAGGGGGCCGGGCCTCTCAAAAATAGAAGGTTGTAGAAAACGGCCACCTATTTCATTCGACGTTCCGGGGCAGGGGCCCGCCCGATTCGATCGACCTATGAGGCGAGCTGATCTGCTTTGATCCAGGAGAAAGCCCGGTCAGCTTCGGCGCAGGTCACGTGACCTACAGCTCGGCCTTGCCTTCGCTTTTGGAGGCTTCCTCTACCCTCATATCTATGTGCCCGCAGCACTTTCATATGGAGAAAGATGGGCTTACCATGTTCCATCAATAGCACCTAACCTATGCCGATTTTGGCGGACCGTACTCCACCCCGGTGAACTCATGCGGTTCCGACGTGCCCAGAGGCCAGAGGCAAATCCGTTCACGGTCCGTAGGATCAAAACCATTCGAAGGAACCCGTCCCGCCATGAATAGTCATGTTTGACCGGGCTTACACACATTCGCTCACTTACGCTGTCCCCCCTCAGCTCACCCTAGCCCCGAAGTCTCCAAGGCTTCACACAAAATCTTCACTGACAACATATGCATGCTTCACTGACAACATTGTCAGGCAGAACCGTTGTTGCCTGATGGGCATATTGCTATCAATGTCTTCATGTCGCACGACCTCTTAACATTACACCACTGAATCCCCAATCCTTTGCTTGCTGTGCAGTGACAGTACCAATATCCACTAATCGTTGTTTCCAGATACGGTTGCCGGTTGACATCTCTTCTAATTCGTCGATACGTGAAGCAAATTGTTGTGTGGAGGAATCAATATCTCGACATGAGCCAAGAGACAGATCTTGTGCCACTCCACCAGGTCGTATGAAACTGGCATGCATCCTGTCTCCCGGGACTCTTTCATAGAATTCCAACAATTTCTCCCGCTCCTCAGAAGCCCAAAGGAACGGAGTTGATGCTCCCACATCCATAGCATGAGTAGTTGAAGCAGGTGAATGATTTGAAATTCGCGTTATTTCACGGAATAACACTCGTATATATTGAGCTCGTAATGATACCTCGCAATTCAAAAGTCTCTCTACGGCTGAAGAATGAGCGTGTTCTTGGGCCATCATAGAAACATAGATAAGGTCGACGACGGAACGAACAACGAAACTTTTTCGTACACGTTCACTTGGATCTCACACACAAGTGCTCTCAGAACCGTGCAATAAGGTCACCCATAACACGGCTCTCCCACTTGAGTTACCTTAGCCCCAGGCCATGCTATTCCATGATATTGGAAAACTGGCAGCCTGACGTAACTTATTTTATTAGTATTGAAAGCTGGCCGCCTTTTGAGGGAGGGAAAGCGAAAGCTTGCTCGAAACTCCTACATAAAGGTGGGGGGAGAGGAAGCGAAGACACTTTGCGTCCCGACAATTTCAAAAAGGAAGAAGTTAGTTTCGATAAACCCGGAAACGAAACGATCGTTCCCGTTGGGTACTCATTGAAGTAGAGCTTTTTGAATATGAGTTGGGCTCCTAGGTAGCTTTGGAGCCAAACCGAAGGAAGAGCAAAAATAAAGTTTTGGTTTGGAGCGAGGCCACCCGGCCTCGAATAGGAGGGGGGCTTTGCTCTGTATCCCGCCTGCTTGCAAAAATGAATGGATCAGAAAAGGGGCTGGGTTCTATTTCCGGGCCGGGCGGGAGGTGAAGGCGCTTGCGAAGAAGATAAGAGAGCCTTCCCGGTAAAGAAGAGGAAAAAAAGATGCTGTCATCTATCTCCACTAGTTTCCCGAGGCGTTGGAAAGAAAGACCGGCTCAGAGAATAACTGGCGTGCTTCCCCCCCATCGTTTCGCCAACAAAGAAGTCATCCTTGACTTACGATTGACCATTCCTTCTCTACCGAGCCGCCTCTCTTCACCATTCGAAGTAATTACCGAACTTCCCTTTTTATAACATACCAAATTCCTTTCCAGTCACTAAGACAATACCAACAAAGTTTCGTCTGTTATTTTATCGGCCCCAGGGGAGTTTACTCGACCCATTCTCCAGTCTCCCGCACTGCTCAAGTGTGCGACTCCGTATGAGAACCTCCTTCCCATCTGCTCTGCCCACTCTCTGTTCACACGGTTCTCAAAGCGGAGGAAGGGTGGGCAGCAGGTACCACGAGCCCTCTGTCCTACACATCTATCCAGAAGCAAGTGTAGTTCACCGGTTCAACCGAATGCTCCTATCTCTCGGCAAAGATCGTGTGAGTGTGCAGTTATGCTTCGGATGCTTTCTCACGGACGACCCAGTTCCCGTTCTTTTCCGGTGCACTCGCTTTGTATCTCCGACACACAAGGAAGGACGCGGTGGGAAGGAAGCAGCCCTAGCCTCTGTCCGGCCGATCATTCCGTTGGCATCTCGCATTCACGCCCTCGTTTTACTGCCGCTCAGGGATGTAGTTGTAGATACGTGAGTCTTAGTGGGTCGTTGGCTCCACCAGTTATCTCCTTCTACGACATGCTGTTGTCGTCGCCATATTCCATATGTCACTTAGTCATATCTGCCTCGCTGCGGGTCAGCACCTCCGAAAGAAACGGAGGACTTCATTCAGTGACTCCGCGATTGCCCTCTGAACGATCAGAATAAGGTAAAGCTTGAAGATAAGTTTTGTACTCTATTAATTTCTCATTCCCTCTAGTCGGGTGGGCGCCGGCCGGTCTTTCGGCCATATTCCCCTGAAAACCGTACGTGAGGGTCTCCCCGCATGCGGCTCACGCCATTCGAGGTGGCCCAGCCCTGCATTCATTCGCAAATCCTGTAATCGAATTGAGACTGCTCGACTTCGGAAGCTAATTCGCGTGTAGGCAGCGCTGTCTGTCTACCGTTGACTCTATCTATTCATTGATCCATTGGCTCGCTCCCTCTTTTTCCAAGAATGAATGAGCCGCTCGGAAAAACCTTCCATTTCCGTCAAATGACCCGGTCTCCACTGGCTCTTCCACCGTCCGGGCTCCCTTTCCTCCCTATGCGTTGTTACCCCGGCGCAGGCCTACCACGCTTCGCGCCTACGGCGTTTTCGCCAGACGGTCTTTGCCAGTAGTGCCATCCTCCCCGCTGGCTGTCTGTATGGGTGAGTTGTCCCTTGCTGCCACGTTCTGTTAGGCGCTATGGATGACAGGAAATTGAGTGGTTGGCTTGGACAGCAGGCGGGTTACACGTTCCACTGTGCCGAGATGTGAGGTGCAGGTAGTGATGATCACCCCGGGGTATGCGCTAGCGCCCCTGACAGGCACTCCAGGACCCGCCAACGCTCGTGAAAACCCAGGAGGTCGGTCGGTCCTCCTTTCATCCGGTCGGATGTGTGGACCGGGAAGGACAGAACGAGAACGAATCTATCATGAAAGGCCAATAATCTCTGATGTTACTGAGCAGTTCTCTTCATGTAGACATGAAACGATCAGCAGATCTTCGACCGCCCTTTTAGTCTGTGGTGAGTCTGATCTGGTTAATATCCTCCATGTATAAACATAAAATATCCTTCCAAATGTCCAGTTCCTCCGTTCACAGCAAGCGGAGGAGTTTCCACTAACGAGGCCACCTTCACAACCTTTTCCCTTCTATCCACAGTCACAGCAAGCGCAGCAGGGAGGGGCGGGGCGAGGCGGGGCGGGGGTGCTTCTGCCATGGCACAACCGTGGGAGGATGGGTATTAGATGACGAACTGATGGAGGATGATAAAGCGGGCGTAGTAGAGATCAAATAAACGATGCAGAAAACGCATATACTATTAGGAGTAGACGACGGATAAAACTAAGTCTGACTCGAAAATCATCAACGTTCAGGGAAACAAGGCTAGGACCGGGCGATTTAGGCAAACTGCCAGTCGTAGGGTGCTCGCAGTTAACAAAGCAGATCTAATTTATCAATGAGGAGGGAACCACCCAATGCAAGTAGTGGCTATCCTACACAATCACTCACGGCGACGATGACAATAAGGATGTATTAAAAGAGCAGGAAAAACCAGGCGTATCAAAACGAGATATTTGGTGAAGGAGAGAAGTCACCAGAGAGACCTGATTTATCAAGGATCGATTCTTGACCAAACGAGATTGTGCTGGACCAGCGGCGAACTCCGTAAGTCGGAGCGTCAGGGAGGGCGGCAGGCGAACCAGAGCGACGGGAAGCCGGACCGTCGAGCGTTAGGGTAGGAGAGCAGAGATGAGGGTTGTGGAGGATGGAAGGATATTCGTCGGCGGCGGCGAGGGTGGAGTCCTAGGGGACAGGGAGTGGCGGAGCGGTGACGAGGGTAAAGGAGAGCGGTGTCGAAGGGGGCGACCGGGTGAGATGGTGGCGATAGTGGCTGGCGGAACGATGATAGTGATGATGAGGGGGAAAAGGTGACAGTGTGGGTAGAGGGAGTGGTCGGCGGACGGCGGCGGACGGCGGCGGAAGGTTGACGGTGGCGTTGAGTCTTCCTACTTTCCTTCTTCTTTTTCAGTTTGTGGACGATGTGTCATCGGAATAATATTTCATCCTTATTGGCGGCAGAAGACAGCAACACGGAGTTTCCACAGTCACAGTAATCGCAGCAGGGAGGGGCGGGGCGAGGCGGGTCGGGGGTGCTTCTGCCATGGGACAACCGTGGGAGGATGGGTATTAGATGACGAACGGCCTAAAACATGAAGGAACGAAACCACGTGGAGGAAGCTACGCAGGAGAAGCAGTCAAGAAACCCAGATAGCGGGTGGAGATGGCAGCGGAATCGCCCCACTCGGCTTCTGGACTGAAGGCCTTGAGGCTGTCGATGAGTCGGGTGAGATCGTTGTAGGCCGCACCGCCCTCCTTCACCGCCGTCCGGGTCCTGGGGCGGTACTCGGCGGCCCGCTTCCTCACTGCCTCCACCTCCTCGTCGGCGGAGCCCGGCGGGAGGAACCGCGACACCACTCGGGAAATGGCCTCTGCCTTGACCACTGCGTCGGCCGCCTCCTCCGGCAGGCTGCTCCTGTACCCGTCCCACATCCTCACGCCTACGCGGAGAACGTTGAGCACCAGCCTCTCGCTGAGGAACTGATCGTAGGCCAGGGGCCAGGTGATCATGGGCACACCGGCGATCAAGCCCTCCATCAGGGAGCTCCATCCCAGGTGGGTAACGAAGGCCCCCGTCGCCGGGTGGTTCAGGATCGCCACCTGAGGCACCCACCCCCTGACGACAAGGCCCTTTCCCCGGATCCTCTCCTCGAACCCCTCAGGCAGCCAGGCGGCGGTGTCGCCGGGCAAGTTCTTCTCTTTGAGCGCCCACAGGAACGGGCGTCCCGAGGCCTCCAGCCCCCGCGCCATTTCCCAGTGCTGCTCCTTGCTGAAGCACTTGAAGCTCCCGAAGCCTACAAACACCACCGATCGCGACTCTTGCGTGTCAAGCCACGCCAAGCACTTTCCATCGTCTTCCACCTTTGCCTTCTCTACGTCGTCCTTCTCGGACCACAGTGGATAAGGGCCGAGGAAGAACCCTTGTCGGGCGTCTCTCCGCACGAGCTCGTCGCAGTAGGCCGGGTCCAGGTCGTAGAAGCTGTTTAATATCACGCCGAAGCACTCTCGCGACGACTTTCTTAACTGATCCGAGTTCTCGGCGTGATGGTCGCGGATCCTGAGGAAGTTAGGCAGCTCTGACTGAACGATCTCCAGATTGTCGGGGATGTCGGGCACGAGAAACGGGGTGTTGTCCCCCTTGGCGAGGCCGGCGTGGGGCTTGTGCTCCTCGAGCCTGCCCATCACCACCAGCGGAAACGCGCCCACCGGATTAAACGTCAGCCGGGGGATCCCCAGCTTCTTTGCGGCGTAAGTCAGATTATGGAACGGGATATCGGCAACGACGGCATCGGGAAGCTGTTCCCGCAGCAGGCGCTCGTGGGAAGGGGTAGTGCAAGATGCGGATACGGTGTCCGGCGCTCGCTGCCTGCTCGACGGTCCGCCGGATGAGTGCCCCGTTGGCGGGGGTCACGGCCACCGTCACGTCCACCCCTCGGGAAGCGAAGGCGCAAGCGAGGTCCGTCATGGGATTGATGTGGCTGGGAACGAAGAAGGGGAATGAAGAGCACCCTCAGCGGCTCCGCCATGGCGGCGGTGTGAATGCCCAATATGATCCGCCGAGCTCAGCTGGAGAGGTGTTATCTGGCGAGTGGAGAAGCGATCGGAGGTTGTGAAGCCCTCTCAACTAACACCCTCCCCAGCTAACACCGTCCCAACCAACCGCATATTTGAACGTTATAATTCCCCCACCCTCCGGAAACGCACATGGCCGCATTATGTCTGTCCAAGAGTATGTCTTATTTCTCCCGGATTCAAGCAGCTATAGTCTGATCCCACGACTCGGGTGCATTTGGCAGTGTGGTAGGTACCGCAGACGATGGATCGTTCTCCACGAGGCCGGATTGAAGACGGGTATAGTCTGACCCCCACGATTCGAATGCATTTGGCAGTGTGGTAGGTACGGCAGACGATGGATCGTCCTCCACGTGGTCGGATTGAAGACGCCCCCCTGGCAACGCCGTCCCCAGCTACCGCCGTCCGCAACTAACCGCGACGACATCCAGCGAAGCTCCCAATTCCCCACTGTCACGGGGTAAATTGACCTAACCGCATGTTTAGGCACCCGAGACCGGCCCCGACCGTTGCTCAGTTAACGCCGGGCAGTCTTACGTCACTTGCGGAAGCTCCCACTGACACTACGGCGATAAAAATGGGAGGAGCTTGACAGACGGCTCACTTCTCCGTAGGCTCTCAGCCGACTCCGAAACGGTGTCCAGCTGCTACGTCGGCCCCACCGGAACTCCCGTCTCCTCGAGAATTCCATTTTTTATATTACTCCATTTTTACATTAGAAATTTACATTAATCCATAATTAAAAAATATTTTTTCTAACACAGAGTCACATTTTTTTTCAAGATTGATTGATTGATTTCTTGGCTTAGAATTTCTATTTTCTGATTATTTTTTAAAGATTCACAAAGGAGTAGACAAATAGTTAGATGAGTTTTACACGGTTAGGAAGAGCATGCATAAAAAAAGCAAAAAAAATTCAATAATGAGATGGTAATTTAGTACTAAAATTGTTTTGAACATATTATTGACTTAAAATATACTTGTTTACATTCTAAATGTTATAATCTGATTTATAGAATTATCTTATAATTTTTATACCTTATTTTCCTAAAAGATTATATGTTTTCCTCCTGCTATGAAATGCATCAACTCAAGTAAGATTTTTTCTTATATAGGGATTGAATTTTTCTTCACATCATGAAAGTAGTTTGGCAGCATAAGACAAGATGACATAATTACAAAAAGTGGCAAAAAATCTAGACTACTCATTAGTCTCCAAAGCATGCCATGGTCATTGGAAACCTTTTTGACCCCTAAAAGTATTAGACGATCAGAATAAATAGTTCATATACAAGAGCTTTCTCCATGGTGTTCAAATTGATGAAACAATATTCAAGGAGCAAAATCAATGAATCTCTCTCAAGAATTCAATGAACCTCCACAGCTCAAGATGTTTATGTAACTTCAACTAAAGAGGTTCATGTTGTTGAAAATCACATGTCACGTGTAAATTTATTCTTGATTTATAGCAAAGTGATTTTAGTGCA